ATTTATTGGAATAAAATACCTTCAAGGATCCGACGATTTGGGGATAATGGAATGCTCCAGAGATTAAGTAACAAGTATTTCACCGAGTATTACAGAAAGGAGCTCAACCATCCTTCAGTCCATTTGCAAGGAATTCTGCCAATTATAACTATATTAGCCGCTGGATTTGTAATTGCTTCAATTACTTTCCTTATTGAAAGAATTACCTGTTCTTCTCGGAATAATTCACTCAATCTAAGCAGAAGAATCAGTTTTTGATGAAAAAAAGGATCCAGTACCCGCGGTTTTATGGAGAAAATCAATGAAAATTAAATTGAATTAATTGTTAGTACTAATTAGCGGAAAAAATTTCCTCGTGCCATTTTAATAAAGACGGATTTGAGAATTCAGTGCGTTTGAAGTATTATTTTATGAACCATTTCTTATGGGATGATCTCAGAGGTTTGGGGAGACTTTTCGATTCTTTTTGTAAAAGATTTCTGACATAATGACTATTGAATCTGCAAATGACCCCTCATTTTACCGACGAAACAACGGAGTGATGGGCAAACATGGAATGTTTGTGATGATGTCAGATATAAACGACATATCCCATAATGTTCCAGAAAAACAGAAGGAGTAAACACAGAAGGAGTAAACACAGTAGATATGGACTCTCGTTTAGCAATCTGTATTATTTTATCAGTGAGGTTTGATAGACAAATGCAAAACGCATGTCTCCTACAGAAATATAAAAAATGAGAGAGTGGAATTTGCACAGAGTTACAATTTTCCAATGTCACGATGTGAAATCATCATGACTTCTCCCTAAACCGTTCGAACGTTAATTGCGAATTCAATAATGAAGAGCAATACTAGGAGGAAAACAATATTTTTGAAGGATGAAAGGAGAATTAAATTGTCTATTTTATTTGTTCTATTGGAAGTTATCAGTAATGCTCTATTCGTGGTTTCTGATAATCTCAATGATGAGAATAATTACCACACACCGTTGATCCGAGAAATATATGAGAAAAGAGGAACTTGTGGAATAATTCTCTCGTCAGCTGAAGATTATCAATGTAAGTAGACGATTGTCCTGTTGAATAACTAAATATGAATTACATTTTACAAAATAAGAACTGAATATTAAAGGATAATATTCATTTATAAATTTAAATATTTCTATTGATCGTTTTCATAATTTTCGTCTAGATAATTTCGAAAAAAAAAAAATAGTTAATCGTAGAAAATATTTAGAAGATTGACTGATTACTGTAATTAAACATGAATATTTAATTCTTCTTGCAGCATTCGAAACCCTGACGATCTGGCACGGGATATCCCGGACTTTATCAGACGAAGGAATACCGACTGTCATGATCAGTTTCGAGCGATTCAAAGAAAGATACAATTTTTACTCTGGACGAACTGTTCGTCCTCTAGCCGTAATTATTTTTGCAGCTATAGGAGAGGTACACAGTTTTGGTCGAATTACCAGGGATTTAGACATGAGTTATGC